TCAATGAAAAAAAAAGATATCTTTACTTCATGAAACACCTACGATTATCTTCCGTTACATGTACTTTTAATTTAGTGGGTGAAAAAAAAGCTAAATTATTAGAAAAGCTCAAAAAAATGTGCAAACAAGACAAAAGTGAGAAGCGAAATAACTCAGCACTTAAATTCACACGAAAAAAAATAAAGCATGAACAACTGGCAACACGAAATCTCTCGCTCTACCACACCTTCAAGCTAAAATGCAGTAAACGTGAGCTTAAGTAAATAATAACTTATTGTACATATATACGTATACGTTTATGAATGGACGGCGGTTTGCGACAATTTAACGGATTCTGAGTATCGTTTTGAGGCATGAAAAAAAATAAAAAGGTGCTCCTTGCCTTCGCGGACTGGCATCGTCAGTTTTTGGTTTGAAGAAGCGAAGTAGATTTACGCTCTCCGCCGGTTCCGCTAAGTCTCTGTAAAATGTGCGAGTCATGCGAACAGATCATAACCAGTGTGTACCTTTTCTCATATGTTCCCTCCCTTTCGAATGCTTATGATCAACTCAAAAGACAGTATGTACAGAAAATTGTGGACAAGACAACAAAAAAACTTGAATTACAGTGGTTATTGATTATAAAACTTACTACTTAGTTCTTGAATAATAATTAACTATAGAAATGAAAAATCTACGGGACATTAGTTACACAAAGATTACCAAATAACTCCAACTAATAAGAATCTAGCAGAAACGTAAATATATTGCAATTTACTTACGATTCTCCGATGTTCCTCTTGTTTGAACCACCTGAAATCCATGGAAAACAAATAGTTGTACATAAAGACTTTAAAGTAAAAAATTATGTAAAAAATAAAATAAATAAGTTATTATTAGAAATTAAAACGACAGCATTGGAATTGACTTAAAAAAAAACAACGCAAGTACTTGTATGATCCAAAGACTTTTTTGTGTTTGCGTTTTTGGTTTTCTTTTTTTGTCGTCGATCAAGTTGTATTTTAAGAGCATGTGCTTGGTATAATTACCATTTGCAGATAAGGAATATAAGAACTGTAGTCTTGTCATGTTAGTTAAAATGAATTTAGACTAATTAGTAAAATTTTCCAAATTACACCCCCTATTTGACTCAAGTTTTTTTTTAAGTAACAACTAATTGGCCGAGCGCTGTTCGTTATTAACTAATAGTCACGAAAATACGACATTTTTGAAGTTTTCATTAAACATTTAAAAAATTGTCAGTCGTACTAAAAAATGTTAAATATAAATTTTATAGCTGACTTAATCATCTACAATTTTTAATAAAAAAAATTATATTATGACCATTAGGTTGCAATATGCAAAGAAATCAAGAAACTATCATTTTTATACTTATTGGATATCTATTATGGCAATTGTAAGAGGATGCCGAAATTCACCAAAATGCTGTAGGTATAAGTTATATGGAAGTAGTAATCCAAAAATGAAAAGGATCCACCAGGGAGGTATCAAGTAATGTAATTTGCAACTAAAAAAATTCGCTTATTTTAATTCATTATTATAATTTTTTTAGCGATCATACATTACTGCCCTTGATTTTTCATGCTCGGATAATCTTGTATTTTTTTACTTCATAATAAAAATTGCGATTTTTTGATGAACAATAACTATTTTGAACTAAAAATTATTTTTAGAAAAATCAACTATCAAATATCTCATTGGTTCTAAAAAAACGGAGTAATTCAATTATGTTGCTAGCATTTTTTTGCGAATTAAGAAACAATATTGTTGTACGACCAATACAAGAAAAAGTATATTTTTTTAAATTTTTACCGCTGTCAATTTGTTTGTCGACATTAAGACGCAAAATAAGCATAGCACAGCATTAGAATTACACTTTAAAATGATCCTTCATTTAATCGCGTACGACTTACCATTTGGTGGCTGCAATGAAATTAAGTACCTCATTATTATTTACTATCACCAGTGAATAATGTGCTTAATGCCAGAAGGCGGGGGAGAGTCTACTTGTCGGCGACGTCTCGGCCACTTGTGCATTGTTATCGATACACTTCACAAATAATTGTCATGAAAGACATGCACCAAATATTTAAGCCCATGTGTAAAGAGGAGACCTCAATTCGTGCATGGTTGTGTTACAAAGTCCTCTACACCAGCCTAAAGGTATACTCTGTACAGCTTACTTCACGACAATAATTTGTAGAATGTATCAATGAATACAGTTTTTCCATGCACCGTTATATTCCTTAGTTCATGCATACATGTATCATTAAATTGCATCAATAAAAAAAAATGAGAAATAAAATTCATCTTACCCTCTAACAGACATAATATTATTTTCATCATCATTTTTCATAAATCGACAAACTACCTCAAACTGAATAAAATAAAAGAGTAGCTGAAAATCTTTTTTAGTACAAAGCAGCCATTTATTATAAAAAACTGCAATTTCATTATTAAATATTAAAATATATGATTCAAGCATGCATCAGTTTCTTGGTTTCTTGTAATTTGCAACATAATTTTCAATCATAACGGATTCTTTTTTTTAATTAATGTTTTAGATAGTTTAGTAATCTACATATTTAAACATTAACATTTTCCAGTGGAACCTTTAGTTTTCTCAATATTTAATAAAAAAGAATAATTTAATAATAACGAATTACGCTCGAACACCTCATTGTTTCTCTCTCTTACGNGAATCACAACTACGGATCATTGGCAATTGGGATGCAAGATTTCTTGTTTTCTCTAGGATTGATAGTCTCCAAACTTTCATTTTTCACTATTTTTTGTTGCAAGCCAAGTGCCTCGACTCTTCATTTTCGAAATTGTAACGGATCATCGATATAGCGTTCAGTGGAACCTTTAGTTTTCTCAATATTTAATAAAAAAGAATAATTTAATAATAACGAATTACGCTCGAACACCTCATTGTTTCTCTCTCTTACGTATTTGGTAAAATACTATTTCCAAGCGATTAAAAATATAACTAGGATTGAACAAGACTTTGGTCTCTGGGCATCTGATTCTACTCATCTAATTTGGACGAAATCAATATTTTAAAAAATTACTTAATATACTTTGTTTTTTGAAACAAATAAGTTCAATTTTGTTTCAGAAGAGACAAAAACAAAAACTAAATGATACTGAGCCCTAACTGAACCAGCTTTAAATCCTATAGTAACACATAAATCAGGGAATAAATAAAAACTAAAAGTACTCCGTGAGAAAAAGTTTGCGGGTTTAAAGACATTGAACTCCAATCAATTTGTTTTTAAAACAAATGTTTTTATTCAAAAAATCATGTGGTTCCTAAGTATAATAGAGCGATAAATGAATTTAATTTTAATTATTATTACGTACAGCTCTTTCTATACATTGATTTTCTTTAGTCCTCAATAATTTTTATTACTAACCGATTTATCTCCACATCGCAGTTATGTATCTACATGAACAGATACAAAATTTCTCATTTTTGCTCTCCATTAACTTTATATTTGTCTTACATAGTTGCTTCGCTTTTTCACCGTAATATATATATATATATA